TTTTTTTTTTTTTTTTTTAAAGATGACCAGTAAGGGGATCTTAACCCTTGACTTGGTGTTGTCAGCACCAGGCTCTCCCAAGTGAGCTAACCAGCCATCCCTACATAGGGATCCGAACCTGTGGCCTTGGTGTTATCAACACCACACTCTCCCAAGAGAGCCACGGGCCGGTCCCTGCCTCCATCCTTTTAAGGATAGCATTCCCTCCAGTTTCCGCCTATTTTTGGTTGTTCTCAATGCCTTTAAATAGTTGATTTTACTGTTTTGTTCAGAGCTTAGGTTGGTAGATACATGCTTCTCTGCCATTTCTGAAACTGGAATGCTGGATGTGATTCTTAAATATGTGATGTTTGTTTTTTTAGAAGTTGTTTGGTAGTAAGGAAAAATTACTGTGGAGTTGCATCAGAACACACTCACCTTCACTCTCAAGTTAGAAACCAGCTCCCTGTGGGTTATTCAGTAATTTAATCCTCAAAACAACAACAACAGAAATTTCTGATCAACTCAGAAATTTCTGTTGTTGTTGTTTTGAGGATTAAATTACTGAATAACCCACAGGGAGCTGGTTTCTAACTTGAGAGTGAAGGTGAGTGTGTTCTGATGCAACTCCACAGTAATTTTTCCTTACTACCAAACAACTTCTAAAAAAACAAACATCACATATTTAAGAATCACATCCAGCATTCCAGTTTCAGAAATGGCAGAGAAGCATGTATCTACCAACCTAAGCTCTGAACAAAACAGTAAAATCAACTATTTAAAGGCATTGAGAACAACCAAAAATAGGCGGAAACTGGAGGGAATGCTATCCTTAAAAGGATGGAGGCAGGGACCAGCCCGTGGCTCTCTTGGGAGAGTGTGGTGTTGCCAATCTGCCTTCAGAAAAAGTGATAATGTCAACATGGCCTCACATCACAATCTGGAGCTATGTCAGTCTCTCTGCACTGGTTGGTGAGCCCAAAGTGCTGAAGTCCCATTTCTCATAGAGAAGTATGACCTAAGACCCCAAGATACCCTATGCTGGAGGTCCCCAAAGTCAAACACTCACAGGGATCAAAATGCGTGAAGCTATCTAGGAATGATAAACAAGGTCCCAAGACACTATTGTCCTTATATTGGAATTAAGTATAACACCTGCATAGTTATTTGGTTATCTAGTTTTCAAAACATTGTGTAGGTATTTTTTAAAAAAAAAATCTGTCTTACTGCCTCTGGGAAAGCATGGGTAGGTGGAGGGATAACTGAGGGGTGAGCAAGGTGACTAAATCAACACTGAACATATTTAACAAGCGCACTGGCCTTGCTGTGGGGGCTCCCTGACATGGGACAACGGAATAAAGATTGATTTGATGGATTAGAACAGACCAAGCTGTCTTCTGAAAGAACACTTAATCTGGTACTTAGGAGCCAGCTCTTCACTTGATGAGAATGTTGGTTTCAAAACGTTTGAAACATTCTAGATAGTCACGTTAATGAAACTNGCCTCGCTCAGCCAGTGAGCGGGAGCCGGTCTGTATGTGGGATCCGAACCCTCAGGAGGGAGCGCCGCCGCGCTTCCCAAGCGGCGCACTATCCAGTGCGCCACCGGGCCGGCCCGGCATGTATAATCTTTATCTTACTCACTATAATGGAACAGATTTCAAAACCTGGGGAAACTACGCTAGTAAAACCAAAAGCATTCATCAGGAAAAGGTGTGGGAGGCTGCAAAAATTAGCCACAGATTTCTCCCATCCCAGTATGCATGCCCCTTTGCAAAGTGGCTTTCCACACCTCTTTTCTAGCAGTTGGAATCTATTTCTCTGCCCTTTAAATCTGAGCCAGGCCGTGTGACTTGCTTTGGCCAAAGGGACATTAGCTAATGGGACACAGGCAGGGGCTTGAAAAGCACTTGAGCATCTGTGACTGCTGCTCCTGGAACCTAAATGCCATGGGAACAAGCCTGGCCTAGTCTCCTGGAGGATGTGAGGTCACCAGGAGAGACAGGCCCTGCTGTCCCAGATAAGGTCTCAGGCCTGTGACCATCCAGCACCTGCCGAACCAGCCCACCCAACACACAGAAGTGTGAGAAAAAATAAAGCATTGTAGAGGCCACAGCATTTTTGAGAACTTTTTTTTGGGGGGGGGCAGCTGGTTGGTAGTGGGATCCAAACCCTTGACCTTGGTGTTATAATGCTGTGCTCTAAAACAACTGAGCTAACCAGCCAGCCCTGGACTACTTTTTTATACAATAATAGATAACTGATACTAAAACATACATACAATTTAACCTTGAATGTTAATAACAGCAAAGATTGTGGCACTGCTTGGGATTCACTGTTTAGTATTAATTTACAAGTTCTAACGGCTCTTCTGAAAACCCTTAACAGTTCTGTTGGTATAAGGATAGTGAGACAGGATACTGAAAAATGTGACTGTCAAAAAGAAAAATTTGGTGGAATAGCTGGGAAGCATAATGAACATGGCTGATGGCCATATTTTTGAAACAGAAGATTAACTTAAGGAAATTGCTCTGAAATGGGACAGAAAAGTAATCTCATGGAAAGATTAAAGGAAAATTGACAAATGGAGGTCTATTTCTGCATAAAAAAAGAAAAAAGATATTAATGTGTTTGTAAGTAATGTGAAAGAATTTTTGCAAAATGGTTAAAAGTTGTTGCCTCTAAAATGGGGATGGAATTTGAGACGTACAGGGAGATTTAGCAGGGACAGAGTGTTCTGAGAGGGGAAAGTGGAAAGGTGAAGAGGGATTTACTTACTGCTACTCATTACTTGACGGGGTACAGGACATACTACCCAAAAATATGGCCTGTTGGCATTTGAGAAAACAGAAGTAGGAAGGCCTCTTTCACCTTCCCCTAGGCCTTCTCCCCAGAAAGCAGGCCAGAAAACCTAGCTGACCTTCACCTGAAGCAGGTCATAAAACTCTCAATTCAAAGGTACCCATCCTAAGAGTAAGGAATATCCTTATCTCTGAAGACAGACAGGAATGAGAACAAACAGGCCTTGCTAAGCTCCCCAAGTTTATCACCATTAGACAATAACCCTTTGTCCAATCACACTTCTCCAGCTGTCCATTCTTCATCACCTAACCAGAAAATACACAGGTTCCCCTGTTCCTCTGGGTCTTCATTTGTGAAGGCTCCCATGTCACATAAAACGTTTTTTTTTTGGGGGGGGGGGGCCCCCCCG